ATCTAAGGGCTATGGAAGGATAGGGGGGATCATCTAGTCTGACCCCTTGCCCAGGGCAGAAATCTGCAACTTCAGCCATCCCCAATAGAGGGTTGTCTCACCTCTGTTGAAACAGTTGCCATGAAGGAGAGTCTACTATTTCTAGATGCAGCTTGATGATAGAATGCTAGAAAGGGGTTTAAATGGGCTTTGGAGATTTGTATTTTGTTGATAACCTGCCTTTATTATTTTTATAAATAATTCAAGGCATGAACCATACCTAATATTTCTTCCTCCTGTTTTCCCCACAAGAACAACCCTGTGAGGTGGGCTGGGCTGAAAGAGAGTAACTGGCCCAAAGTCACTCAGCCAGCTTTCGTGCCTAAGGTAGAATTAGAACTCAGAACCCCTCTTCACTAAGTAGGGATTTGCTACCCCCACATTCCCATCTGAGTTCTTTTAACACCTGCAACAAAGGAGCATCCTCTTTCTGCTGATTCTAACCATAAAAAGTTATTTTGTTGTTATTGTTAGGACTGTTTCCTGATGTCCAGCCAAAAATCACGGGTAAAGTTCGATGCTTCTTTTTTCTATGTTGTGTGAACCCAACTCGTGTCTTTAAAGTATCCAGACCAAAAAGCTGGATTCACATGGTATGTGTGGCTAACCCCAAACGGAGAAATAAATTGAAACCAAACCCTCCGTTAAGCAGTACAAATACACACAAGGTTAAATTCATTCTCATCTGAAATTTGTGGGCAGGACAAGATTATCCGGTTTTGCATTTTGATTATGTCTGTCGAAAGACAAGTCTGTTTCTGCCAGTGGCCTCTTTATTCTCTTTGCTCTAGAAAGTTGGACTTTAGGGAATCCTACCGCCTCCGTTCGTCACTTCGTTTATATATTTTTAGCCTTAAAAAGAGAGTTAGAAGAAAAACCCCTCTGATATCCAGGGCAGTTGAGAAACAGACCCTTTAAAAAAAATCTGCCTCCCCATTCCCAAATTCATATCTATCTACCTACTATATCTATCTCACCTCCAAATAATTAAAAGCAGATTTAAAATAGAAGTGGTGTATGAAAAAAACAGAAAAGGAGTTATATCTATAAAGGAAATAAATTAGTTATTAGAATAATAGTTTTGAACTATAATATGGAAGATGGATTCAGAGGATAAAGGTTATTTTATTAGTAAGCAATGATATTAGAATGAGAAGTAGAATATGATTGTGAAATAAACTAAGACTTTATTTGAATAAATAATAAGTGTATTTTAGATATATCTATTCTGTAATGAACTAAAGGAACCGTGGGTTATCTGAAACCTAAATATTATGGACATTAAGCTAACTGGAATACTGTAATTGAAATCAGATAAAAGTTAAAAACAGGATCTGGAGGCATGTAAGTCAAAACTTGTTGATAAATGTTTTAAAGTGAAGGGATTTTATTATGCTTAAGGTTGATATTAGTAATATTGATATTAGTAGTGATATTTTGTAATTATATATATATATATATATATATATATATATATATATATATATATATATATATATATATATATATATATATATATATATATATATATATATCTTTGTTTATGTGCAAGCAGCTTTGTAGATGCTTTAGATTGGGAAATTAGTTATATAAAAGCAAATGTTTTATGCTTTAGGTATAGGTGATTGCTTATATGAAAAGAGCAAGGTAAGGGGAGGGGGGAAAGGAGTTATGGATGGAGCCTGGGTTGCTGTGTATGAGTCATCATCTAGGAATTATTTTTTTGTGCCATCTTATGCCTAGTACAGTGGTGGCGAACCTATGGCACGGGTGCCAGAGGCGGCACTCGGAGCCCTCGCTGTGGGCACGCGCGCCGTCGCCCCAGTCCTAGGCCTTCAGCTGGGTTTTATAAAACCTTTTCGCTTTAGGCCTCTGCCGCCGTGTGCAAAAAAAAAAAAAGGTTCGATCAATCAGTCAATTTCAACTTCTCGCGGGAAAAAAAAAGATCTTGCAAAGTTGGAATTGATTGATTGAACTTTTTAGTCCCACCCAGTCTGCCGTTACCACCACAGCCACGCCCAGCCAATGGGCCACATCCACCCGGCACCCGACGATGCACAAATGGGTTTTGGGTTGCAGTTTGGGCACTCGGTCTCTAAAAGGTTCGCCATCACTGGCCTAGTACCAAGACCTGATCTTTTTGTTCTGGAAAGGTATAAAAGGTGGAAGACATCTTTCCTGGTTGTTGCCTTCATCTCTCTACCAGCCACGAAGAGAGATGGGGGTCACCCAACTCTATTTTGATCAAAATAAAAGTTGTTTGCTTGCTGAAACCTCGGCTCAGGAGTTTCTTTGGCTCTTTTAAATTCCTGAGTAATGCTGGGGCAATTGTGAGGCTAAGTGGAAAACCTTACAAAAGGATTAGAGTTATAACTAGCAATGTATTAATCTGAATTTGGTATAATAGCTAAGGGAAACAGACAGGAAATTTTTGATGATGTAAACTGACATATGTATGGAAAAGGTTATTATCGGACTATGTATTACCCAACCACCCTGTTGCTTGCTTAATACCTGAAGCTTTGTGAAAATGGAAAATTAATAAAACTTGTTTAAAGAAAAAAGCAGAAAAGAAAAGGCTAAATTCTGAATCCACCAACAGTGACAATGCTTTGGGGGGGGGGAGATTTCCTGATCTGACCCAATTTGCTTTTCTTTTTTCTTTTTTCCCTGTTTTCAAGTGGTGGGTTTCTTGTTCTGCCTAACTAGGAAAACAAGCTGGGGAGAGAAAAAAAAAAAAGAGCCAGGCTGGGTGACCATACTTAGATCTATAGTCCCCTGGAGGAACATTAGTATAAATCAGTGTTCCTGCGTGGCTGGAACATTCGTTTTCGATGACCCTTGCATAGAAAGGAAACTGCTAGCTTTCTTCAAACAGGATGTCCCCTGGATTTCTTTGGAATTGGGCTGTCAAATCCAATCCGTTTTAGAACAGGCGAAAAATCCGCCTTGGCAAATCTTCGCTTTTGCTCCACCCAAATGGGGCGTGTGGTTTTGTGTGTGTGTTTTTTTTTTTCTCTCTCTCTCTCCTTTTTAACCCTCTTTTTTTTTCTTCTTCTTCTCTCCGCCGGCCCATCCATCCTAATCCAACCAATTTCATGCCTGGGAATATTCCCACTGGGCACCCCCCTGCGCCTCGTCCCCATGGTTTTAATTACCAATTTTTACTCTCCCGCTGCAAAAAAAACCACAAAAAAACACCCTTTGCCTTTGTTCAATGTATATCTCACACCCGGCCGGCCGGCCGGTTGAAGGAAGCCCTCAAAAGCGTGTCATTTGGCTTGGCAGGGTTTTTTTTTGGGGGGGGGGGAAATCCAAACACATCTAAGGAGCCTCGTCCTGGTTAAGTATCCCTGCCTGGGGGGTCAGACAACTTTTGACATGGGTTTTGGTAGCTGATCAAAGACATGGTTTTAAAAGCGGAGCCTTTCGTTCGGTAAAAGGAACCGGAGATACCTAAGAGAGCTTTAAGCTGCTTAGCAGGGCCGGGGAAACATCTGTGGGTCAAATAGCAAGTGGTGCTTATGGTCTCAAGGCGGTGGAGTGTGAGCTGTTGAACATAATTGTGCCCAACAGCTATCGGGGCAAAATCTCTTGAGCATAAAAGGAGGTGTTTTTGGCCGTGGCAGTGGGTGCGAATTTGGGCCTCTGGGCACTGGTAAAACAGCACCCATCTTAGGACCATCTGCTATGAATACAGAGGAGAGGAGAGCAAAACTGTGCATGACTTTCGCTCTGTACAAATTTGGAAAGAAAAAAGGGAAGGGAGGGAGGAGAGGAGAAGGAAGGAAGGAAGGAAGGAAGGAAGGAGGGAAGGAGGGAGGGAGGGAGGGAGCAAGAGAAATAGGAAGGAAAGGGAAGGAGAAAAGGGAGGAAGGGAGGAAAAGAGGGACGAAGGAAGGAAGAAAGGAAGGAAAATGAGAGTAAGAGAAAGGTTTGATGGGAGAGAAGGAAGGAAGGAAAAGAGATGAAAGGAAGGCGGGAAGGAAGGAGAGGAAGAGGAGAAGGAAGGAAGGGAGAGGAGGGAGGAAGGAAGAGAAATAGGAAGGAAAGGGAAGGAGGAAAGGGAGGAAGGGAGGAAAAGATGGAAGGAAGACAGAGGGAAGGAAGGAAGGAAGGAGGAAGAGGAGAAGGAAGGGAGGGGGAGGGAGGAAGGGAGGGAGCAAGAGAAATAGGAAGGAAAGGGAAGGAGGGAAGGAAGGAAGGAAGGAAAAGAGATGGAAGGAAGGCGGGAGGGAGGGAAGGAAGAAGGGAGGGAGAGGAGGAAGGAAGGAAGGGAAGGAGCAAGAGAAATAGGAAGGAAAGGGAAGGAGGAAAGGGAGGAAAAGAAGGAAGGAAGGAAGGAAGGGGAGAAGGAAGGGAGGGAGGAGGGAGGNAAGGCGGGAGGGAGGGAGGGAAGGAAGAAGGAAGGGAGGGAGAGGAGGGAGGAAGGAAGGGAGGGAGCAAGAGAAATAGGAAGGAAAGGGAAGGAGGAAAGGGAGGAAAAGATGGAAGGAAGGAAGGAAGGAAGGAAGGGGAGAAGGAAGGGAGGGAGGAGGGAGGGAGCAAGAGAAATAGGAAGGAAAGGGAAGGAAGGAAGGAAAAGAGATGGAAGGAAGGTGGGAGGGAGGGAAGGAAGAAGGGAGGGAGAGGAGGGAGGAAGGAAGGGAGGGAGCAAGAGAAATAGGAAGGAAAGGGAAGGAGGAAAGGGAGGAAAAGAGGGAAGAAGGAAGGAAAATGAGAGTAGAAGGAAGAAGGGTTTGATGGGAGAGAAGGAAGGAAGGAAGGAAAAGAGATGGAAGGAAGGCGGGAGGGAGGGAAGGAAGGAAATAAAGAAATACAAATTGCTAGGGCACTTGAGCTTTTCAGAGCTAGCCTTCTTTGCATGTTATCTAAAAGACACAAAATACCTACTTATGTGGCAGAAACCTGGTTTGTTCTAATGCCATTTCCCCCTCTTTGTCTCTTCTGCTTTCTTTCAGCGGCCACTCCACCTAATCCGGTTGACAAACCCTGCTTAAAGTTGAAGGTTTATGTTCGGCCAACAAGTAAGTAGGACCAGACGAAGGAAAGCATTGGAAATGTGATTTTTTCTCTCTCTCCAGAATTCTATTTTGAACCAATCTGAAGTAATGCATGAATCAGACTGTACATTAAGTAGCAGACCTCATTTTTTCCCCATATCTTCTGTTGCACCACTCAGCTCAGAAATATCAAAAGCCATCTTTTAAAAGGATGTGGTTTGAGAGTAAATAGAAATTCATCTTTGAAAAAACAAATGACTCTTATTTTCCCTCTAGATTTATTCTGATATCCAGAATATACTTATAAATGGGAAAAATGCAGTGTTGCCGAAAGGACGAACGCTCGGAAAAATGGGTAAAAATAGATGGTGGCTGCCGTTGAATCTCTGTTGTATTAGCCGTACAGGTGGTCCTCGACTTACGACCACAATTGAGGCTCTTTCTGTGGCTAAGCGAGACAGTTGTTAAGTGAGTTTTGCCCCATTTTACAACCTTTCTTGCCACAGTTGTTAAGTGGATCGCTGCAGTCGTTAAGTTAGCAACACGGTTGTAAAGTGAATCAGGCTTCCCCCATTGACTTTGCTTGGCAGAAGGTCGCAAAAAGGGATCGCATGACCCTGGGGACACAGCAACTGGGTCATAAATGTGAGCCAGTTGCCGAACGTCCGAATTTTGATCACGTGACCTTGGGAATGCTGCCAGGGTCAACAATGTGGAAAACGGACATATGTCACTTTTTCAGTGCCGTTCTGATTTCAAACGGTCACTGAGTGAATCGTTGTAAGTCAAGGACTATCCGTCAAACCCAGTAGTAGACAAAAGGAAGGAGGTGCTTTTGTGTTTGGTTGCAGTCAAGGTAACCCCGGGGGTAGGGTAAGCTCAGTTGCTGTTGTGAGCATCACAACCTCATCAGGCAAACGACACAATTACACACTTGTGTCATTATGTAACCCCTTGTGAAAGAGAGCCCACTCATCACGGCTGTAATTCAAGGCAGTCATAAATTGGTTTAGCCACCAGACCCATCTGATTTTACAATCTTTTCTGCTGTGCCTGTGAAGTGATCTCTGCGGTCACTAAGAAAACCATGGGCCTATTTTGCCAAAAAAAAAACAGAAGTAAATGCCACTTTTTGGCAAAACAGTCATAAAATGAGGCCATCTCACTGCAGGATGCTGCAAATAGCAATAAATGCAGGCTGGTTGCCAGGCTCCCAACATGTGTCACATGACAATGAGGGTGGGGGAAGAGTGCCACTGTCATAACTTTGGAACTGGGTTGTAAGTACCCCCAAAGAGGATGTAAGTCAAGGACTACCTGTGTACAGGTCAGGCCATTATGACTATTCATTTCGTGACCGTTCAAAGTTAAGACGGTACTGGAAAAAAACGCCCTACCACTGTCACAGCATTCCTTGGCACCCACAATGTGTGGGTCACAGTGTCCTGGGATGTAGTGATCACCATTTGTGATGGTCCCAATCAGCTTCTGACAAACAAAGTCGCTTGGGAAGCCAGATTCACTTAATGACATAGTAAAAAAGGGTCATAACATTGGATGCAGTCACGAGATGATCTCTCAATGACTGCATTGTTTAATGACAGAAATTCTGGTCCCAATCGTGATCATAAGTTGAGGATTACCTGTTCAGGAACACTAAAATCTCATGAAATGTCAATATTCCTGTGAGGAGATCAGATGATACTCGCTCTCTTTTGAGATTTGGTGAAGAAAGTTTTCTTAAAGGTTTCAATAAAAATAGAAAACAGAAATAATTCAAATCTGAATTTGAATTGATGAACTAGTTGGCATTGTTTTTCAGAGACTGGATGGTGGGAAATCTATGGATGCCGTGCAAGTAGTCCTCGACTTATAACCATTCGTTTAACGACTGTTTAAAGCAAGGGTCTTCAAACTTGGCAACTTTAAGACTTGTGGACTTCAACCCCCAGAATTCCTCAGCCAGCCAGGGATGGCTGGGGAATTCTGGGAGTTGAAGTCCACAAGTCATAAAAGCGTCAAGTTTGAAGACCCCTGCCTCAAAACAAGTATCTCCAAACTTAGCAACTTTAAGATTTGTGGACTTCAACTCCCAGAATTCCTCAGCCAGCATGCCTGGTTGAGGAATTCTGGGAGTTGAAGTCTACAAGTCTCAAAAGTTGCCAAGTTTGAAGACCCCTAGTTTAAAGTTACACTGAAAAAAGTAACTTATGACCAGTTTGCATATTTGCAGCCTCCCCACAGTCAGGTGATCAAACTTCAGGTGCTTGACAACTGGCATGTACCATATTTTCCCGAAAATAAGACCCAACCGGAAAATAAGCCCTAGCCTGATTTTTCAGGACGCTCGTAATATAAGCCCCATCCCAAAAAATAAGCCCCAGTTAAGATCGTCAGCCAAACAGATGCATTTAGTACCATATTTCCCTGAATATAAGACCTAACCGGAAAATAAGCCCTAATGTTTCTTTTAGAGCAAAAATTAATATAAGACCCGGTCTTATTTTCAGGGAAATACGGTATCTACAATAGTTTCAGTGTCCTGGGATTTATCATTTGCAAACTTCCTAGCAAGCTTCTGACAAGCAAAGTCAATGGGGGAAGGCAGATTCGCTTAACAGCTGCATGGCTCACTTAACAACTGTAGTGATTCGCTTAACAACCATGCCAAAAAGGTCACAGAATGGGGGCACAGCTCACTAACGACTGCCTTGCTTAGCAACACCCACCAAGCTAGGAATAAGCTGAATTTTGGGTCATCAGAGATGGAACTCAAAACATCTCTGTTTCGCCCACAAACCAGGAAACCGGGGGGGTGGGGGAAGATCCATGGGCCACCATCAGCCGGTGAAGCTGCCACCCTGGTTTGGCAGATTCCATCAGCCACGAACAGCTTCCGTGAGCCATCACAGCCCAGTTGGGTCTGGGGGATAGCAACATCCACAGTCCTAGCCACAGGGTTTCACAAAGAGACATTGACATGGTAGCAACTGGACAAAATTATTTCTGCTCATTCAACGTTCCGAGATAGACACATTGGCCTCTACAGAGGGGAGCTTTGGATGTACAGCATTAGGAAGGGTGTTTTTCCACCCATAAACCTTTGGAATATTACCAGTGTGTGTGATGGGCTTTAGAGTACTTCCTCTGGGCTCCATCTTTGTGGACCAAGAAAGGTAGTTGGGTTCACCCTGAAGTTCCTTTCTGCTCAGCCAGAGATGGCACCTCGCCCGAACTAAAGGGGTGTCCAACCCTGACCAGTTTAAGACTTGTGGACTTCAACTCCCAGAATTCCCCAGCCAGCTGGCTGGGGAATTCTGGGAATTGAAGTCCACAAGTCTTAAAGTGGCCAGGGTTGGACGCCCCTGTCCGACAGAAGAGGGAATACATTCAGAAACCGTTCAAGGCATCGAAGGTTAACCCAACAGTCATTCTGCAGTGTGGGTTGACTGTTCTGCATTGTTCTTGGTTTTCTCATGGTCCTTGCCAATGGCAAGTTTTTGTCGCTATTCGTCAAGAAAGGAGAAGTTGATCTACATTCAGAGGGAGTCAGTGCCTGCAGCTGAAGGGAGGGGACTCCTCCAGAGAAGAATCTTAAATCTTCACTTCTAGGTAGAGGATTTTTTTTTCCCCTCGATTCCATCCTAAAGTTCAGCGATTCTTTTTTCAGACATGGATAAGATTACAGGCAGTCCTCAACTTACGACCACAGCTGAAACCATAGTTTTTGTTACTCTGCAAGGTGGCGGCTAGGTGAGGGGCTCCCAGTTTCATGACCTTTTTTTGTCACAGTGGTTAAGTGAATTACTTCAGTTGTTAAGCGGATTGTGAGGTCATTAAGCGAATCCAGCTTCCCCCATTGACTTTGCTTGTCAGAAGTCAGCTAGGAAGGTCACAAATGGTGATTGGATAACCCCAGGACTCTGCAGCCACCATAAATACATGCCAAGTGGCCAAATTTTGATCACATCACTCTGGGAGATACTGCAACGGTTGCAAGTGTGAGGACTCAGTTTTTTCAGTGCCATTGTAACTTCAAACAGTTGCTAAACAAATGGTTGTAAGTCAAGGACTACCTGTATTGGAAGTTTAATCAGTGACAGACTTAACACCTGCCTTCACCTAACATGCTTGTTGGCTTTGTATTAACGTTGATTAGGGTTTGTTGTGACCTACTCTATAGTCAAACCCAATTTTATTGGTTAGTTTATAATAGTGTAACAGAATAAAAGAGTTGGGAGGGACCTTGAAGGTCTTCTAGTCCAACCCCCTGCTCAAGCAGGAAACCCTACACCAGGGGTAGGCAACCTTGGCTCTTTTAATAACTTGTGGACTTCAATATCCAGAATTCCTGAACCAGCCATGCTGACTCAGGAATTCTGGGAGTTGAAGTCCACAAGTCATAAAAGAGCCAAGGTTGCCTACCCTTGCCCTAAACCATTTCAGACAGATGGCTGTCCAGTCTCTTCTTGAAAACCTCCAGTGATGGAGCAGTTTAGGCAGATAATTTGGCCCACATACATGCAACATCCCCAATTTTGTGGGTGTTCCTCAGCAGGACACATGATATCATGCCCATGATGATGTTATGGCACAAATGTCATGCTACGTATGACATACCGGTGGCTTCTAATTAGCTTGCCCCAAGGGTGCTTTTTCAAAAGGCAACTGGACTTTCTTTGTTTTTCTTTGAAGACATTTTGCTTCTCATCCAAGAAGCTTCTTCAGTTCAAGGAAAAACAAAACAAAGGAGAAAGCCCAGCTGCCTTTTGAAAAAGCAGTTTGGGGACAACCATGACTTGGATTATTAAGAATCTCCATGGACATTCTACCTAGCTCAGGGGTAGGCAACCTTGGCTCTTTTATGACTCGTGGACTTCAACTCCCAGAATTCCTGAGCCAGCTGTGCTGAGGGAAAAGAGAGGCTCAGGAATTCTGGGAGTTGAAGTCCACGAGTCATAAAAGAGCCAAGGTTGCCTACCCCTGACCTAGCTTGTTCCCTCAATTTACCCTATATTTGGGGACATATTTCTGTCACCCAGATCCCTTCTCTAAGCACCTCAGAGGTAGGCCTCACTCTCTCACCTCCTGAGTTTACCCCAAAACTGAAATCTTATTCTTGGCTACTAAAACATTACAGAATCAGGAGCGTCTGCAAGGGTGGAGAACGATGGCCCTTTAATTTATTAATTTATTTATTATTTAAATTTATATACCGCCCTATCTCCCTTACGGGACTCAGGGCGGTGAACAGGCAATAATAAAATCACAATAAATATTGAATAAAAAGCCTGCTCTAAAATACCCCATATAAAACCCCTAGCAAAGCCCAATCAAAACTACGCCAATGACTTGCGGA